CCGAATGGTTATCAGGAGAATTAATCCCTATCATCTTGGATTGGTGGGGTTGCAGGATTGAGGGCAGACTGTAGGGCAGGGGAAGGAAGCCTAGGGAAGCTGATTCCTGCCACTGATCTAAACACGTTCACTTAAGGTCTGCTTTTAACAGACCCCAGTGTTTTTCCAGGCTGTTTCTTACAGATGCGATTGTGTTAATCCAGTTCCAGTTAACCTCAGCTTTGGTGAGGTGTCTAAAGACTTGTCTCTCTTACTGAGTCTTTAACATTTCAGGTAATGTCCTGCTGGCATGTCACCATACACAGTTGTGATCACTTCATTGTCCACTGAGTGTCTAAGAGTGTGGTCACCAAACCACAAGCCATAGCTTTTTACTGCCCTTGGAAAGAGAAACTGCTTCCTGAAATACAGTCCATGCTTGTAGTATTGAAGCTTAAGCAAGCTTGAATCTGTGTAGAGTGAAAATCAGTTAAATCGGGATTACAATTAACTGCATGTAGCAGCTAACCTCTCCCTAGCCAATACATGAGTTAAGCACATTAGAGAGTTTTTCCCATATAATTAGAAATCTGTGGAAATACGCTCTTCCAGACATCACGGTGCCGTCAGAAACCCATGTTCTCTCTTCTCCATCTTCAGCACGCTTTATTGACTGTGTTCATGCTGCCCCCATGAACCTCTGGCAGGGAATCTGTTCTAGAGGGAAGCCATGCGGTGCAGCTCCGTCTGTAAAGCAGCTGTCCTCCTGCGCTGAAGAACCACACCCAGACACTTCTGTTTAGATCCCGTTGGCCAGAATTGTGACCGTGCTTATCTTAGGTAGCAGAGAAGCAGGAAGTGTAATTTTTTAAAGACACTTTAAGGGAAGCACACATTATTTGAACAGAATCTGAATAGTGTTAGTAGAAAGAGAGAAGTGGTAAGATCCAGGCCAGTTGAACCTGCTAAGTAAGAATTTCTCCACACCTCCTTCATTTTTGCTCTTCGAAGGACTTTGCACAAACTTTGCACTTGGAAAGTAAGCTTCCTTCCGTTCGGGATCTGCAGGGGACTTGTTTAGACTTTGTCTGTGAAATAGATATAAATACCACACACTCTAGGTACTGCAATCTAGAAAAAGGCCCTACCCCACTGTTACATCTATATGTAAATACACATGCCTGTCTCCTGTTCTCCTATTGTCACAAAACAATCCAGTTGTTACTTAAAAAAAAAGGATAGCTGATATAGCACTGTGCTCTCGCGCGCGTGCGTGCGTGTGTGTGTGTGTGTGTGTGTGTGTGTGTGTGTGTGTGTTCTTCATTCGTGGTGTAAATGTTTATTAAGCATCAGATACTCTGGAAGGCACTGTGGGTACAACAGAAGTTAATTGGGGGACTTGGAGATAGTTCAGTGAGTAAAGCATTTGCTGCACAAGCATGGGGACCTGAGTTCACGTCCCTAGTACCTGCCTGAAGGCCAGCTCACACCCAAAGTTGACTTCCAGCCTCCGCATGTGCATTTATGTATGCATGTGTATGTGCACACCACACACACACACACACACACACACACACACACACACACACACAGACTCTCACACACACTCTCTCTCAAAAGCTTTGTTTGTTTTTTGAGACAGGGTCTCACAATGTTAACCCTGGGTGTCCTAGAACTCCCTCTGTAGACCAGGCTGGCCTCAAACTCAGAGATCCGCCTGCCTCTGCCTCCCAAGTGCTGGGATTAAAGGCGTGCGCCACCACCACTGCCCAGCTAAAAAACTTTAAACACAAACAATAAAAGAAGAAAACTGAACAAACAAGCCCAGACATTTCCATTGTGCACTATCTAGAAAAGAGTTTGAAAACTGTGTTTGTAAATGGTGGAATGGACTAACTCTGGTAAGAGCCACAAGGATACATGTTTAAAAGTGTTCAGAAGAGGAAAAGATTATTTCTGCCAGAAAGAATTGAGTAAATATGATCTGAGAACCTAAACATATGTTTTCATTTTAAGAGTTTGCGTTCCCAACTAGTGAGCATCATCATAAGACCAGAAAAAATATGTTGGAAAAATGCATAACCAACTACCATTCGCAGAGGATTACAGATAGGTGGGCTGTGTGCTCTTCGGTTCCTCCATAAACTGAGGACGAGGTTTGGGAAGGAATGAGTGTGTGTTGAGTGTCCGTTTGTGTGCGCGTGCGTGCGTGCGTGCGATGCTTTGGTTAATTTCCAGGCACCTTTGTTGAGTGCCTGGACTAGAGTGATCTGTGTGGTCTTCTTTCACCCTCCGACTGTCCAGCAAAGCAGCTACAACTGCCTACAAGACATGTAAAACTCAGAGGGGTTAAGAAACTGGAAGCGGTTGCCCGTTAGTGAACATCAGAATAGTGTTTGAGCCCAGGCACAAATGAGGAAAGCCGCCCTCTTACCTACTGTCTCTGGGTCTCCCTGTCTTTAACTGTGACCCAGTCTGGTCCCATGGCCAAACACTCAGATTCTCTACCTTAGAAATCTCTCTTCAGTCAAGCATTTCAGTCAACAGATTTACTCCACTCAAGAGCCCTCAACTCAGTCCCTGTCATATCTCCCTAGCCAGACTTTGGGACTCAGTTCCCAAAAATGGGACATCTCAAAGTCATAGAATAGAGAAGAAGTGCTAGACATTTTCCCACAGCCTCTCAATTCATCTTTAAAAAACAAAACAAAATATAATTTTTAATTGATTCTTTGGGATGTCACATCATGCACCCCATTCCCACTCATTTCCCAGTTCCTCCATATCTGCCCTTGTAGCTAGCATCCCCCTCCCAAGGAAAACTAAAAAATAAATGCAAATAAGAATATTAATTAAGGGTCTGGAGAGATGGCTCAGTGGTTAAGTGCACTGGCTGCCCTTCTAGAGGACCCAGGTTCAATACCCAGCACCCACATGGCAGTTCAGACCTGTCTGTAACTCCTCTTCAGGGAAGGGATCTGACACCTTCACACAGACATTCATGCAGTCAAAACACCAATACACATAAAATACAAATAAATAAATTATTTTTTTAAAAAGAAAAATATTAATTTAAAAAATGAACACAAAAGCAGACAACAAAACACAAACAGAAAACAGAACACAAAAACCCCCTTTGTTCCTCCGTCTTTCCTGCCTCCTCATTTGTCTCAGTGGCACTGGGAGCTGCTGCGTATCATGCAGGAGACCCTTGTGTCCAAACAGCGTCACTTGCAAATGTACATTGTGTAATGTAGCATTGGTCAGGTTCAAGGCCTCTGGCTTCTGGTACACCGTCTATACTGAACCCTCACCAAAACTCCTCCCAGAGACCCTGCTGCTGTGATTCCACAGGGCCAGTCCCTTCACTCACTCCAGCAGGTCACAGTTGGGGTAGATGTTTGCCAACTCAAAGCCCTGGATGTGTGCCTGGGTGGCAGCCAAGTCAGTCTGGGCTGTTGGAACCACCCTCCTCAGGTCAGGGGTGATGTCAGCTCTCCTGTGTCGTGGTCATCCGGGTCCATTATCCCAGGACCAGTGATGGGTGGGGTCAGCTCTGTGGGAAGTGGGGGGTGGGCTCTCTCCTGGCTAGTGAGGGGCGGGCCGGCTAGGCACAGCCCTGGTACTAGCTTCAACACGTGGTTCAACACTTAATTCGAATGGGTCCCTGTGTAACATGGGCAGTGGACATCAACACAGACCCCAGCTGCTGCAGAACCACAGACCCAGACATGGCCAACAGCAGCAGCTTGGGCCCAGATTTCACCAGGGGCCTGAGTGGCAGCACAGATTGGCATGAGCCCAGCAGCACCATGGTCCCTGGACTCCAACTGGCCTCAGGTGGCAGCCCGGACCCTGAGCAGTCGCACAGCCTTCATTAGGATTTGCGTTACAAACGTGAGAACCCAGGTTTGGATCCCAGAACCCATATAAATGCCAGGTGGCAGTGGTGACCAGGTTGTGATTGAGTTAGAAGGCAGAGACAGGGGGATCACAGAGCAAGCTGCCTAGTAATGCTAGTCAGATCACTGAGCTCTGGATTTCAGAGACCCTGCCTCAGTGAATAAAATGGAAGAACCGTCAAGGATGATTCCCAACATCACCCTCAGGTCTCCACATGCACATACACACACACACACACACACACACACACACACACACACACACACACACACACACACACGTATGTGCCATACACCTGCAAACATGAATACATAAATACATGTATACCACACATATACATAAAAGTGGAAAAAAATATTGCTAAGCATCCGTTTGGAAGAAATGTACCTTCATGTCGTGTAGAGTGTGTGGCTCTCTCCATGTGTAGGTGGTGTTTGGGGTCTCCACGGGCCCACCTCTTGCAGAAGGTACCCGGTGTCGGTCCTGCACTCATTGGGTGATGTGTTCGTAGAGTAAACTTGTGTTGTCAGACTTGCATCTTCTGTTAAACTTTAGGTGGGTGAGGGGTTGCTGTGCTGGGATTCTGAAACTAGCCCTCAAGGTCAGCCATGGCTTGGCTACTGGTTTCTGTTCCTGCCTCAGTTCCCCAACTGTTTGTGCGGGGTGCCCTCCCTGGTCACGTGGGCATCTTTGCTTCCCTCCAACCCGCAGACCTTCTAGAGCAGTACTAAAGTAGTCTAGCATCCCAGCCGTGGTCCCGGGCCGTTGTCCTCTGACCTGGGAGGACATTCACTAAACACTCCTGGAATTGAGCAGCGAAGGGAGCTAAGCTAAAGAGCAAATGCTTTCCTTGTTCACGTGTACTAGCTAACCCACAGCGCCCAGCTGCCTTGATTCCTGAGTCGGGTGTTTTCAAAAGCCCCTGGCAACTCCTCTTTGAGAGACCTCTCTTCTCTGAATCCAGATCTGTCCTGACAACCTTAGGGGAGTTTCTCCCAACACTTACTTATCAGTTTCCCTTCCTCTTTGCGCCTCTTCAGGAGTACAGATCAGTTGCATACAGCCACAGATGATGGAGGAGTTCTCCATCTATCATTTTCTTTTCTTCTTTCTTATAGGCAATCTTTGGCAGCCAGACACTACCTAACTCCAGTTTATGGACAATAAATAATGGTGCGGGCTGCAGAATTTCCAGTGCCACAGCTGGTGGCCAGAAGCCAAACACCCTGCCACAAAAAGTGGTGCCACCTCCAAGTTCCTCCACCTTGGTCTCCAAGCCCCAATCCAATCACAAACAAGGGCTCAGAAAGGCAGCATCCCAGAGGGCTTCCAAGTAAGTTTCCTGTAATGGTATGTGCAGTTTCCAGTGTTACATCAGTTCTAAGCTCATAGCACTCCTTAGGATGCCTTCAAGACCATTTGAATTGAGATCACACCACCTGATGAAGAACAGTGCCAAACTTGGGACTCTGCCATGGTTGCAAATTGGAATCACCTGGGGAGGAACTGAACCCTGCAGTGTCTGGCTCTACCCTGAGAGAGGGGCAGCCACTGTGCTTTCAGGTTCCCTGGTAATTGTGACGGGGAATCTACAGAGTTCAAGGTTATTGCTGAGCAGTGCTGCCAGCCTCTGTCATGAGCTGCAGACGGTGCAGCCGACAATGGTCCTGAACTGTCGGCTTGGAGAAAGGAGGCGTGTCTGCTCTGGATCACTCTGCAGAGTCAGATCCTTTCAATTTCTTGTCCAATTCAGCCCTCCTCTCCTCGTTTGCACATTTGTGTTTAGGCAGTTAACGTCATCAGCACTAATCAAGCAGTGGTATTTCTGATGCCTTTTGTAGGCCACCTATTTTATACTAAATAGGATATCTAGAGCTATTTATGTATCGCTCTTTCTCATTAAGACTCCTCACTCGGCTGTCCTTCACCAGCTCAATCTTAGTTGTCAGAAATTCCGAACATGTAGTACTGCTTTTCTTCCCCCTTTAGAGGGTGAATCACATTGTAGATTGGAGTCAAAGCAATCCCCTGTGGCTCTCTTAATCACATTGCTGTCATTATTCATTTACTCAACAAATATTTACTCAGTACCTGCTAAGCACTAAAGAGCAGGAGAGTCACACTGCCGTGACCTCGTGCTCTCTGGAGCGTGAGTGGAGCATGAGTGCAGGGCAGTAGGAAGGCTGCAGGTGCATGGTGGTGGAAGGACAGCAGAGGAGCTGTGCGCCTCCTCTGCCCCGCACCCCAGAAAGCGGTCAAATCCTGACGAGTGCAGCCCCAGTGTGCAGCCTCCCCAACTCTCACCCATTACCCATTTTACTGGTTGACACTTTGAGCGAGTTACTTAATCTCTTGGCCTTGCTTTCCTCATTTGCAATAATGGTGCAGGAATCACCTGCTTCATAGGTGAGTAGATAAACAGGAACTAAGTGAGCTGTAATCATCCTCTAGTGGATGTTGAAGACACTCTGCAGCTCTGAGCAGCTCACAGCTAACCATTTGAAAGCAAACGTTGAATCTGCTGATGTGTTCCTTGTGGGCTTTCCTGCATGGGCTCGGGGGTCTGAGTGGTGCTTGTGAAGAGCTGGGCTTGGGTGGCAGGGCTAGAAATTTGAAGGCACCGCTCGCTGCCCTGAACTTGCTGCTGGCAGGGAAGCCCTGCAGACTCCCGAGATGGAATTGCAGCTCTTTGGGCAAATTCTGCTTTGCTGAATTTTTGTGGTTTCTTCTTTGTGACAGGCAGGAGTGTGGGAAAACCGGAAACAGCTCAGCATCAAAAATGCACAGAAGGGGGGAAGCAAAGATTTCTTCAGCATTTAAGAAATATAATCCAAGTATCAGAAGGCATGCTGTGAGGCGTTGTTCCAGCAAATAGTTTCCAATTTGCCTTTAAAACTAGCAGAAGTCTGTGGGGCTAAGTTAGCACTAATGGAGACCTTCACATTCTCTCACGGGTAGAACGCCCAGTGCTGTGGAGGCCCCACAGATACTTTCTATTATTATATCGTCATCATCATTATTGTGGGAGCAGTGGGGGAGAGCAGAGGGAGAATGTACCCACATACACTATGGCACACATGTGGAGGTCAGAGGACAACTTTGGGGAGCCGGTGCTGTCCTGAACTCAGGTCATCGGGCTTGCACAGCAAGAGTTTTTATGAGCGGAGCCCTCTTCTCACTTAAAAGAAAAAGAATAGGAAAGGGTTTGTTGTTGTTGTTGTTTATTTGTTTGTGTCTGGTTTTTTCTGAACTGACTCATGAATTACCTTAATTTTAGACTTATCAAAAAAAAAAAAAAAAAAAAACCTACAGGGACAGCACAGGCAGTCCCGAGGTACCCACCAGCTTTGTTCATTGTTAGCATCGTTCCCGTAGGTAGGCTCAGGTCATTCTGCGTTGGAAGGGTGCACCAGACCGAAGCTGCTGCCGATGCAGGATTGTGAGCTGCACTTTATATGGTATTTGGATCAGTGAAGTCTTTTGGGTTCTTAATCCACAGAAATGCTCACGGCTCCTGGAGTCAGGACCTTTAGCATCATTTGGTCCATTCTTGCTCTTCTAGAACGATTCTTGTTCCTGGCCATTCTAACAACTTTCTCACATCCCTGTGATTCAGTTTCCTGCTTTAAAACAGGACTGATGGCAATAGTACCTGGCTAAAGGGATCGTGAAGAGAAATGAATTCAGAAATGTTGAGCGGAAATACAGTGCGTGCTGCACAATGCTTGTTAAATCAGGCCTACGTGCTGTTGTGGTTGACCGTGAGATAAGAGTCAAGAAAATCCCGTGTAGTTTGTTTACTGTGTCCCCGAAAGATGTGATGCTTCATTTGTCCCCATCCTGGTAGGGCCTTCCTTCTGGTTCAGCTCAGATGAACCAAGAGCCGTCCGTCCTGACTGGTGGGACCGAGTCACGCTCAAGAATGCCACCGAGGCCCCAAGAGACAGAGCTAATGAGAAGTTGTAATGAGCGTTTCCCCATGCCAAGCCCTGTGCTTTTGGGTTGAACTTGAAGCTTCTCCTAGCACAGAGGTTGGCATCAGACAGGCAGAAGCAGTTTCCACGAGCATCATCAAAGTTTCCACATCCTAGAGGTTGGGTCTGGAGAACAATAGAACATCGGAGATGGAATGTCCTTTGGATTTGGGTGCAGAGGGAACTGAAAATGAAAACATTGGGGTCCTGTTTCATTATGATGATAGTCAAGTCTTCTTCCCATCTGTGAAACAAAACCCGCTGCCCTCCTGAATAATTGGCCCAGATAGCTTGCTTTCTGTTGATGCAGTTGAAAGCTTCTCTATGAGAGCATTTGTGTTCGAGTCTCACTTCGCAGCCATTTTTCTGGCCCCTCCTGGTCCGGCAGTTCTTGCTGTCGCTCACAGATTCCTATACCCCCACTCTTCCTGTCAGTTCTGTGAGGAGAGTGGACATTTCTTCCTCCTCTCCCTTCCCCTCCCTTGTTTTTGACTATTTACATAGGACCATCACCTCTCCTAATTTTCCTGATGCTTGAAACACCTCATAATTTAGTGTCCATCTCACCTCCTCCTTTTTCCCTGGTGTTTCTGGCTTTTCTTCTACAAGATAACTGGATTAAAAGGGATGGCAGCTTGTCCACAGCTCAATGCATCTGAGCTGTTTCTTCCTCGTGACGTTTCTGTTCAGAGCCGTGAATTTCCCAGGAAATATGGGAAAAGAAACCCAGGGAGGTTAAAGATCGCCAGGCAAACTGATCGGCTCCTGAATGAACCAGATCAAAGTGGTTGTAACTTGGGAAACTTCCCCTAAGAAAGTGTTGGCTCAATAGTAGAGCATATGCTTAGCGGGTATGTGGCCCCAGGATCCTAGAGGAAAGGAAAGGGGAGGGGATGGGGAGGAAAGGGAGGAGGGACAGAGGAGAACGGGGACGAAGAGAGGAGGAGGAGGAGGAGGAGGAGGAGGAGGAGGAGGAGGAGGAGGAGGAGGAGGAAGACAGAGACCGAACTACAGTGTTAAGTTGCTTTGCCTCAAATGACCTTCGTGGGAATTTTGTTTTTTTAAGACAGGGTTTCTCTGTATAGCTCTGGCTGTCCTAGAACTCGCTCTGAAGACCTAGCTGGCCTCGAACTCAGAGAAAATCCTACCTCTGCCTCTAGAGTGCTGGGATTAGAGGAGTGTGTCACCACATCCAGCCTTAGTGGGAGTTTTTAAAGGTAACTGACTGCTGTCCTGTCCAGCACCTAGGACAGTGGTGTTTGTTAAAGACTTCGGGATTAGGAAGAGGAAAGTATTAAGAGCTGGGCAGCCCGGTCAAACCAAGTATCAGCATATGACTGGAGCGTCTGCGGAGGTCAGCAGTATGATGAAACCTGCTCTGGGGTAAATGTCAGAAGAACATAAAAATAAATATCCAGTAAGACACATGTATGTGTCTTCCAGCTTCTTTTTCTTGTGTGAATCAATGCAATGAGGCGATCCTAGGGAAAGTACTCAGGAGCTGTAATGGCCAAACCTCCTTGTTGTGGGTGTAGCCGCTGTCATACTGTAGATTACCATTATCTGTCCATCTTTCAGTCTTTTATTATATGATTTGAAGAAACATGGTTGAGTCTGTTGTATATCTATCCTATTTAGGGAGTACTCAATGTATTTCTAAAAGTGGTCATTGTAATTAGTAGTTATAAAGTTTTCATGCTAGAGGAATAGAGTGTAGCATGGGTACTAGTGTAGGAGGGTACACAGGTGGCTGAACCAGAACTGGTACTCTTGGTACCCAGAATGCTGACCACAGACTTCCCAGCAGACCACTGTCTTCAGAAGTCCCTACCAGTCCTCTTAAGTTGAATGTGTACAACAAGTGCAGATTAATCATCCTAAAATACTGCTTTTGGAAATCCAAAGCAAGCACTTGGGAACTCAGCCCCTTCCTTTCCATGCCAGTTTTACCATTTACATGGCTGGGAGGCACTCAAAAGGAGGAAAGAGTAATGCCACTCTGATGCAGAATTCCCGCTAGGTGCTACCCAGGAAGGACAGGGTTGAAGATCAACATTGAAGGGCTTTCATATGGCTTCCTGTGAGAGTGCAGTCTGTGAATGAGTAGGAGGCTGACATACTCTCACATGGCCCCCTCTCACTCCAGAGCACAGCCTGAACCTAGAAGGAATAAGAAGCCAGGAGGTTAGGTTCTTGTCTTCTCTCTGTCGCCCTCATCATTTGGGCCCGAAGAGTGGCTTAGGGGTCTTCAGGTTTGTTCCTGGTGTGAACACAGGAGAGACAGGGACTAGCACCCTCCTCAACAGAAGTCACACTGGTTGTGTGTAGGTAAGTAGTAAGTAGTGTAAGAGTCTCAGAA